TATCTATCTATCTATCTATCTATCTATCTATCTATCTATCTATCTATCTATCTATCTATCTACCTACCTACCTGTCTATCACAAAACCCAGATTTTGGATTTGCATTATCTAATTTTTCATCTTTATCATTACACATATATTTTTATTTCAATTTCTTTTTGAAATGCAAACTATTAAGTCCAAAACTAAGCACAGTACTGCACAATTAGGAAGATGTTATATGATATCTTTGACTTCAGGACAAGGATTGGGCTCTATTTTTAATGAGAGTGCCATTATATTTCCTGCATTAAAGGTTGCATAGCACATTTACAACATTTTGTGTTGGAAATACAGTTTTGACTCTTATTCACATGGTTTTTTTTTTCTGGAAGGAAGGAAGGAATGGATAATTAGGGGTATTAGTAGGTTTATTGACAATCTACTTTCTACTTTATTTGCAAAAGAAATCTGAATTGTTAGAACTACAAATCACAATTAAATACAAATGCATCAACAGCATTTAGAACAGAGTTGTTATCAATATCAGAATAATTAGTTGATTCAAAATCCACAGTTCTTAAATAAACAATTGAATAAGATTAATCACATACTATTAGTTATTTTCAAGCAGTCTGGAATAAAGGATTAGAATCTCTCACATCAATTAATCAATGGCTACAATACTTAAAATAATATTTCTTATGAACTTAAGTTAAAACAAGTTTAACAAAATATTCTTGTTCACATTAACTGGATATTTAAAAATGAATATTTTAAAAAGCTGGCTGGCTGTGTTATTAAATACAATATAGGTATTCATACAGTATAGGTTTGGTGTCCTATTGTGCTATTTTAATAAGTTAATACCTTTTAGAAAGACCACTGTGGTTTAAAAATGAAAAAGTGCATGTGAATTATTTACTGAAATCTCAACAACACTTATCTTGTGATTTATGGTTTCTCAAACAGAAAGGCAAGGAAAAAAAAGACCATTCTTCAGTATTGGAATAGATTTATAATCTTGATTATTGATATATGTTTGCTTTTTTATTTATAAAACATATACATCTATGAATGTAATGAAAAGATTGATCAATATTGTTTTGCGTGGTTAAGATTTAAATGATCTATATAAAAGATACCTAAATTATTTCTTATAAGAAACATAATTTATCTTAATTCTTTATGCTGGGTTTTTTTAGTGTTTTTCTTTTTTCCTTCTTTTTGTACATTAAGATAATTGCATCTAAAGAGAGCTCAATAATCACTCAAATATATGTATTTTGAATTAGTACTCCTGCCCACAATCAAAATTATTAAATGTTATTGATTTATTATTACATCTGAAAGTACACTAGCACTGCTAGAATAAATGGGTTTTGTGCCTGTTTATCAAAAATCAGACCTATATGATGTGCATTTCTATAAAAAAAAACCCAGTTCTATATTTCTGGAGGTAGAAGACACCGGGAAATGCTTTCTTACACACAGCAATAAAATAAAAATAGTATTAATATCCCTCAAAATAATTTATGTCAGAATCAATAGACAAAACATTTATTAAAAATCAAAACTTTCAACATGCAGAATATTATTTTGGGAAAAAAGGGAGGCAAACCTCTATTAAGTTGAACTATATTTTCAAACTTGTCAATGAAAGATATTTATATATATTAGCACAACTTAGTGCTCCATACTCTTAAAATAGATTGGTCCATCTACTTTAAACTATTTTGACTAACAGTAATGATGGGTGCTAGGTCATTATATATTGCAAGATATTCTGTTATTCAGGAGTAGTCTACACCTTCAAGAACTAATATGGCTAATATAGCTCATGGAATGTACTTAATGACACTAATTGGGACCTGAAATTTCATTAAGTGACACATTTCTAAGTCGAAAAAAATATGTGGTCATGCCATTTAGTGACAGCAGCTGTGGCAGTCCCAGTTGCTGTCATTAAGTGTGGACGAGGCAACTTGTTAAGCAAGGACCTCATGTAGCTGTGACTTGCAGCTCCTTGCCAGCTTCCCCATTGGTGTTGCCTGTTAGAAGCCCACTAGGAAGATTACAAATGGCAACCATGGGGCCTTAGGGACTCTGTGCCAGCCTTAAGTATGAGGACTGGTTGAAACTATCACTTGTTGTACAACTAAATGTATTATAATAATGCTTTCTTTGAGTGGAACTCCATTTTTAACGACTTCAATTTTATTTCAAATGTCCAGATTAGCTCTTGAGCTTTTAATACCTTTGAAACCATATTAATTCCAGGGACTACATGGAGATGCCCAACTATACTAGCAATATAGAATATATAGATATAGAAAATATTTGCTATTTTTTTCTTCCAGAATATTTTTGACTTCCCAGTCCAATGTACAACCCTGATACTTTCAAATGGACTCTATTTAATGGCTGTAATTTCTGGTCTAGAAAAATCATGCATTTTTTGTTTTGTTTTGTGGTATTATCCAGTAGCCTACACTGATCCCAGCCGTACTCAGCTTTTTGAAATCAGCCACCTAATTTGATTTAAATAGTAATATTTATGACCAATTAATCAAAATTAGAGGCACCCAGACCTAGAATTCTACATAGCGGCTTTTCCAACAAATATATAATAGATTGTGTTCAAGTGAGTGATTATATGAATAACACCAGCGCATTATTTTCTTTTATTTTTATGAGATGGGGATGAAAGAATCATTAATTCAAAATTAGTTAAAAACAAGGACTTGTTAAAATTAGTTTAAAATGTAGTTTTTTGTCAGATAGCTAATCAAAGGCAATGCTATCATGATATACTTTGCTACAAACTACAGATCTCAAAATCTAGACATTTCATTGCTATAATATTTGAATAGTAGCATGTGGTATGTCTGAAAAAAAAAATGAGTAAAGCCAAATTTGGTTTAATATGTACTTTAGAGGCTTTACAATGAATAAAATGAATGAAAATACCAAAGGTATTGAAATATAATTTTGAGCCTCAATCTTTCTGCTTCTTGTGTAGCGCTATAGCCATGTACTGGTTTATTGTATTATCATATAGAAAAATAGTTACATTGTAACATGATTTTCAAATCATTCTCTAAATCATTATTTTAAAAAGAGATACCAAACCAAATCAGAATTATGTCTTTTACTGAGAATACAGTGAAAAAAATCCCCACTTAAAAAAAACTTGGCAAATTTGTTTAGATAATTAATTACTATAATAACATTTGTTCTTTCTTATTTGTGAGATAGCTTGATGATCTGTTAATGAAGATTTTTCAGCACTACATAAGAGTACGAAGGAAAACAATCACTAGAGGGAGCTGCTGTTCCATTCAAAATGAGCTTCTTGAATAATTTTTCAGCTTAAATGACTCACACATTGAATAAAATAGATTCACAGCAATATAATAAAAGGAATATCTCTAAAACAATATAAGTGACAGTAAAATAATATCCAAAATGTGCTAGAAAGAAAATCACAATTTATGTTCATAATTTCTACTCTTACAGGCATTTGAAGAAGAGCATAAAAGTAAACAGGGAAGTACTATGTTTTGAACAGAAGCAATTATAGTGATTATTCCTTCTGTGGAACCTAAACATAGTCCAGTGAGAATTAGAGAACTCATATAGAATGGTGGGTTAAGCAAAGTCACCAGGTCTGTTTACTAAATTATATCAGTTTGTTCTTGGCTTGTTAAGAGGTCTGGAAATTAAGTACGTTCCCCCAAACAGTGCAATAATTATAAAACAATTCAGCATTTGTCAGAGCCAGAGGTCTGGGCTCTGAGGTCCAACGGGATCAGAATAAGAGTAAACAATGCTCTGGCTTTACTACAAAACATGTCAAACAAACTTCAACATCAGGTAGCTTTCTGATGCTGGGAAATTGATGTTTTAAATAAATACTTGTTTTTAAATTGTTGTTCTGCTATTTATTGTTTTACACAGTAACTTCTGAAATCGTGAATTTATTTAGTGCTTGATGAAAATGTCCCATCCTAGTTGGATAATTATGAGGAATAATAATTACTCCCATAACCCAAGGTACATCAACCTGTACCAATCTCAGTAAAAGGTATTTTTTACTTCCCTTGTAACAACTTATCATCCACCTCTAGCAGGTCTATTCACTGAAGCCTGTAATTACAGATGGATCTTCCCACTCTGTCAGGACCCAGAGAAGTCTGTTTTTGAAGTGAGAGATAAGCATAATGGCAGCTGAGGCAGAGAAATCTTATATGAGATATATTTGTTCATTTTACTTAAAGCTTTACCTATCATAATATGTCTTCCATCAAAACAAGTATTTATTTAAAACATGTATACTGTATTTAATTATTAATCAGTTTGATGGTTCTCAGCTTTTTCAAGATCAGCTCAGATGGGATAAGTCTGACCAACTCTTATTCTAGATTATTCCATCCTGCCCGTGAAATGCTTTATTGCCATGATATAAATGAATACTGCATATTGACCATACAAACACATTGGGTAGGGAGACACAATAGGGCAAACAAGAAGCCTATCAGCACCTTCTTTTTCTGCTTTCCTTGTATTTTAATAACGCCATATATCTGGATGGAGTAGCTCTATTCTTGGAGTAAGCAAACTGTTTCCAATTATTTTCCTGATTAACATAAACACATTCACAATCCAATTTTTAAAAAAGAATCAGAAGACAAAAACAGCATCCATTGTATGGCTTAGCTCTGTAAAATCTACTCATGCCAGTCTCAACCTAAACCCCATTTAATGCTAAATACGAATGCTATATTTACAACATTCTTAACACACAAAGAAGTCTGGTTACTTCATATATTCCAGTGGTTAAAATCACAATACAATAAGATAGGCTGCTTAAGACAATGTTAGTTCAAGTTCAAAATACTCCAGAAACTTTAAGAGGGGTATCTTGTATAAGAAACTTTGTATTTTTGTATTATAGCTTGACTGTCTATAGATTTAACATTATCATAACTGAACAAAAATATGTTGGGGTCTTTTGGACACTTCTGTGACTTCAGAATAGGTGATACGTGGCTCAATTGTAGTAACTATGAGGGGGATCTTGGAGTTCTAGTGAACTATCACTTAAACATGAGCCAGCAGTGTGCTGCAGCTGCCAAAAAGCCAACACAAACCTAGGCTGCATTAACAGAGGGATAGAATCAAGGTCATGTGAAGTTTAATAATACTTTATAATGCCTTGGTAAGAACATACTTGGAATATTACATCCAGTTTTGGTCACCATGATATAAAAAGGATGTTGAGACTCTAGAAAGTGTCCAGAGAAGAGGAACAAAGATGGTTAGGAGACTGGAGGCTAAAGCACATGAAGAATGGTTGCAGGAATTGGGTATGTCTAGTTTAAAGAAAAGAAGGACTAGGGGTGACATGATAGTAGTTCCAATATTTGAGAGGCTACCACAAAGAAGAGAGGGGCAACCTGTTCTCCAAGGCATATGAAGGCAGAACAAAAAGCAATAGAGGGAAACTAATCAAGGAGAGACACAACCTAAAACTAAGGAGAAATTTCCTGACAGGTAGAACAATTAATCCGTGGAACAATTTGCCCCCAGAAGCTCCAGCACTGGAGGTTTTTAAGAAGAGACTGGACAACCATTTGTCTGAAATGGTATTGGGTTTCCTGCCTGAGCAGGAGGTTGGACTAGAACGGGGGGCCCAATCCCATGCCACAAAATGGCACTGTCACGTGGCCGGCCAGAAACCAGGCTGTGCAACTGAGCAAATTCCTATCCATGCACATGCAGGATCCAGTCTGCAGAAAACCCGCCTCTATGGAAGTAGTCCCTGGCACCCAAAAGTGGGGGGGGGGGGGGGCTGCTGGACTAGAAGACCTCCGAAGTCCCTTCTAATTCTGTTATTCTGTCTTAAGAAGAAATGAGTAGGTTCAGTTAATGAAGATGAGATGAGACATTCATAATTCAGCATTGATTCATATGACAAGTTCATGTTCTGTAAGAAATCTGCTTTGGACAGAAGCATCATTTGCTTGACCATTTTTGAAATCTGAACTGCAAGTACTGTACCTGTTTATTACTATGTAGGAGACACACGCTATCATGAACTACTTTTTCCTAAGACCAACAATACGAATGATGTTCAGAATACTCCTCTATCACAATCTCATTTTATTAACAAATAATATGCCCCAATCTGATATGGATTCTTCATTCTGAAGGTTTTTCATTTTCAATATAACTATGTCAAATACAACTGTTACATTCTTGTTTTTTATCTTTAATAAAGAGAGACATCATTTGGATTCTTTCCAGATATATTATTAATGTTGCTAAAATTACTCCTGTGTAGAATATCTCTGTGAACTTTCAATGATTACAGAATAATCAATTAAGTACCACACCAAGAAAAATAGAGGTAGCCTAATGCCATCATTAAAAGAATCAAGCACAGATTCCAATCCATGGGCATCTAACAAAAAATTCCAAGAGCATCTGGTGCAACAACCCCAACATACATGTTACTAGAATGAAAGAATAGTACAATTCCTTTCATACAGTTCATATATGTCTTAATTTTATTTTATTTTTTAGCAAATTCATTTAATCTACAGCTGAATTTCCAGTTTTGGTATAATCCTTTCTGCCATTTAAACAATCAGCATCTTAGTCACAAATTTCTTACTTGAAATACACAGCACCATTGCTTTGGGTAAAGTAAAATAGTTAAATATTTTGGACAAATTCATAGTCTGAAATGCTCATCAATCTTTTCCATTTCCACCAGTTCCAGAAGTTGTTATCCTACTTTTCTTATCACACCTATATCCCCATTCTCTATATGACTTATCTTTGTTTTTGTCTGTAGAGAAAGGGAAAAAAATGTTAACACAACCTCCTTAGGGTATCTGAGATGGATTGTGGACTAAGCTGAGTTTGATGCTATCCTTGTGGATACTCACAGGTGGCCCTGGTGGTCCTGCTTTTCCAGGGAGTCCTGGTTTGCCACGTCGTCCCTGGATAAACAAAGACATATAAGAGCAAGAATTATTGGACAAATAATCATTTATTTGTTTAAAGAACATGGTTTTGAAAACTATGAAGTCTTTAAGGCAGGACTATTCTCTCAATCAGGGAGATTTTTCAGAACAACCATTCTAAGAACATTACTGGAAATGTATAGTCCCTGCTTCATATACCACACTTTTCTTCTGTAAAAGCAGATTTGAACAAATTGCCTGAGCAGGAGGTTGGACTAGAACGGGGGCCCCAATCCCAAATTATTCAGGACAGAATGTTTCATTTTAAAAAATTGATGATGTTAAAAACATTATTTTTAAAAAATGCTCCAAATAAAGTTGAGCTTTCAAGATAACTTCTACTTCACTTGCTCAGAACTGCAATCTGCTACGAGAATGAAGACAGAAGTGTTCTTTTTACCAGGGTTCATTTATTCAGAAAATATTAATCTGAATAGGTGCTGCCTTTTTCATGTGATTACATTCATTTTACAATGTTCTGTTGGCTATTTTCATCCACATGGCCAATATAGAAAACAATGCTAAATAGGGTCTGAATTTATTTAATGACACCAATAAAATGATACCTAAGATTTAGTCAGCTAATAGAAAATGGCAATCAAAGAATTGATTAAAGTCAGCATTGAATGGTGGGTGGGGGGGACACAGAAAGCTTTACTTTTAATCCTTTTAGTGGTCATTTCTAGCAAGGACCTATTTATACTTTTCCCAGCCTATGTGAAAGTTCTCTGATAGCACAATTGTGTATATTTGAAAACTGATACAGTAATAACTATGACAGTTGAAAAATCTTCCTGAGCCAAAGCTGGAAGCCCCAAAGAATTGGCTGTAAAGCAGAAATGATAAATGCCATGAACAATGAAGTAGTTTTAATTACTTTAACATTTTTTTTCAAAACAAAGGTTTACTTCATCAAAAAATATAATTAGCACTTGTTTTGTAAGTTATGATCATGGATAAAAGCATTCTGTGACATTTATCAAAATACAGCAAACTCAGATGAATTACCATAAAGGAACAGACAGGATTGGCAGTGGAAGAATTACAGTACATTTACCATCCTAAATCTTAAAAATAGGCTGTGCATTACAGATTTACAGATATCCTGCCTCCATTTTCTAGGCTGATTTTCATAGATCACTGCTGTATCTGAACTGAATTATGTACTTCTTGCTTATTGATCTCCATTATTCAAATCATCTGTCACTGTCACAGATTCCCTATCAACTAATCTGAACTTCATAAATTGAGCAGCTCTATGGGCCCAAGTTCAGGAAACAGTGGATGACAATGTTTCAGAAGCCATGTGTCTCCTAACATTTTTCATGTGTTTCACATACAACATCCATATTTAGGTCAATGTGCTTTTTGTTAACCTAACTTTAGCTATAGTTTTTGATGATTTGGGTTTGATGGCTTCCACATGTGTATTTATATTTTAGGAGCAAAAATATGTGAGATATGTAAACATTTTTCATCTAGATGTTTATTGCATCCTGTAACTCTAAACACACCGAATATAAATTATTATAAAAAAGGGTTTTATTATCAATATTAATGTAGTCCTTTGGGATATTCAAGATGCACAAAATGTTACAACACATATTTGTAAAAAGTGACTGACTGAAAGGTTTTTTTTTTACATTGCTTAAATATTTCTCTATAATGTAAAAAGCTTCATCTATCACAGTGTACATGCAATATTAAATTCAGGTGAGTCTTTCAGAGAAAAATGCTTTACTACATCACTAAAGTGAAGGGTTATGCTCTTGTAGGCAGTAGACATCCATAGATACCGAGAAAGGTAACCTTTATTACCATTAAAGGGAATAGAAAAGGTCTTGCAGGCAATGGAATCTACCAGTATGCATGATCACAGCTTCTAAATCAGACATTTTATTATATGAACCTTGGTTTCCTTTCAAAGTTATTAACAAAATGTGCCATTTGAATAACTGAATGAAATGTGAGATTTCACAGCAAGTTGGATTTGTTAAAAATTTAAATACTGATGAAAAATCAGATTCTGTTGATTACTTTTCCAGTTCCTTGCTTCTTAACATTTCAAGTAAGTACAAAATAAAGAAATATTAAGCAGATAGTAAGATTTGAACTGGCATGGACAAATGTGATTCAGTTGCAGAATGCAGAACTGAATTCTCTGTAACTTATATTTATTAAAAGGTTTGCTAATATAACTTAGGAAGCATAACCTTTTTTCCAGATTGTTTCTATACTGATTACTGTCAGTGCCATTGTCCATTATAGATCCATTATAGACTTCAATTCCCAGAATTCCTCAGCTAGCCATGCTGGCTGGGGAATTCTGGGAGTTAAGATTCATGCATCTTAAAGTTGCCAAATGTGGAGACCCTGATTTATATCAGTACAGCCTGTTCATCACATTTGTCTAACTTTTTATGATTCATAGAAAAGGCATTGTATAAAAAAGGTTTATAAATCCATTAGTAGTTGATTATATATAGTATAATCATATACATATATGCATAGTATAATCATATATATACACTAGACATTTTGGAAAACTATCATCAAAAGAATTTGGTATGCATGTCTTGTTCCGTATTAAACAATGAATGGTTGGACAAATACAAAAGCAAACAAAAGGTTTTTCACATGCCTTGTTCCCTGCATAACCTACATTATCAAATTAGTGAGCAAACACACCCTAGCATTATGTTCCGATCACCTCTCTGAGTACAATGCTTAGTCTTCCATTCTTATAAGATTCTGTGCTATAGGAAAAATCAGTCCATTGAGCTCTATTAATAACAAGAAATGTGAAGGTATTTCTTATTTAGGAGCAACAGGAGGTACTAGCAGTCCAAGATACTCTTGTGAAATGATTGCATCTCTTTCTACTTAAGGATTATTTGTAACAAAGAAACAAATGAAGAAAAATAAGGGAGGATTATAAGCTGAAGGTTATTCCTGTAATAGTAAATAAAGCAGGACGATTCAATAATGATAATATTATCTAGAATTCCCCAGGTGAAAAAGGTGTGGATAGAAAGGCAAAGGCACCAGAGCATCAAAAACCTCATGTTAGGATGAAGATTTCTTATTTGCTATTATGCTATGTTGAGGATTTGAAAATGGACTAAAACCCATTGCGATAATGAATCATAGGGTCCATAGTAATTGGGTGGCAAATAATAAAATAAAAATGATATTGTTGTTGTTCAGTCACTAAGTTGTGCCTGATGCTTTGCGATCCTATGGAGCATAGCATATTAAGTCCCTCTGTCCTCCACTGTCTTCCGGAGTTTGCCCAAATTCATGTTCATTATGTCAATTATGTTGTCTAGCCATCTTATCCTCTGCTTTTGCCTTCAATCTTTCTAAACATCAAGGTCTTTTTCAATGAGTCCTCTCTTCTCATTAGGTGGCCGAAATATTTGAGCTTCAGCTTCATTATCTGTCCTTTCAAAGAACAAGTTTGATTTCCTTTCAGATAGACTGATTTGATTTGCTTGTAATCCAAGGAACTCTTATGAGTCTTCTCCAACACCACAATTTGAAAGCAAAAGGTGATATTAACATTTTTCAATATTAGCCATAACATTCAATGTTTGCATTGAGATGGTATGTGTGTCTTCCTTAATTCCATTTCTTTCTGCTGTTTTTCAATAGTGACATATTGACAATCTGAAACTCCACATGATTTCAGCGTGTGCAGTTTCTATATTGAAAGGGAAAATACTTGCTCTGATTTCTTAGGGTTCTTGTTCCTCTAGAAATGTGTAGTGGATGGTTTTTAACCCATGAAAGTCAAGCCAAAGCTTCTCTTTAAATCATCAAGTTTGTAAGATGTATCTATCCTGGCTCTTTGGGAAGAAGGAGGAGGAGGAGCAGGAGATGCTAAAGGAAGTCAAGTCAACACTTTTCCTCCTGGAATCGAGAATGCTCTTGGAGAGTTGTACTTCATTCACAGAGCCTTGGGACCATGAGGGCAGCTCTGTTTTTGTTTTTGTTTTGCTTTCACTATGAAGCCAGCCAGCTCTAATGCTCCATGTCTATCCAGGAGCATGGAAAAAGGGGCATTTTAAGATGCTGCTGCTGAGCAGCTGCCTTTAGCATTTTTCTTCATCACCAGCTGGGTGGCCTTGTAGAAAATGATGAAGATTGGCAGGTGTGGTAGAGTGCATGGCAATAAGGGCAACTGGGATGGAGGTTGTCAGGCATTCAATACTTTATGGGGTGGGGGTAGCGGGCTTTTGGAGTCTCCCAGGAATTTGGAACTTCTTGTGGGACAGCTCCTTTGTACTCTGCTGTGGAGGCTTCCCAGGTATTCAGCCCTTTGTGAGAGAAGGTGCTGTTGCTTTGTGTTGTGTATTGGAATAAATTCCACTGCATTTAAGGACATAGGACATAGATGGGGAGGGACCTACATAAGCAGGTAGGGGCCAGTCATAAGTGCAGATGGGGCTACCAAGCTCCCAAACTTTGATGACACGACTGCAGGGGGGCTGAGACAGGCACAATTTAAAAGTCCCTTTGTACTATACCATGGTAATTTTCAATGTTCGCTAAACATACCTTCCCAGATATGACTGGGTTATCATAGCTATTGTTGCATCACAAATATATATACTCCAAGCAGTCTAATAAATATTGTGGTAGCGATCACCACTGAAGTAATAATGATAGATAGCAATAATAGAGTCATAGTATTCACCAGCAATGGCTTTAAGTCTGATAAGGCTTACAAGAAAACTCCTGTTTTCAAAAATATGACCAAAAACATTCTTGGAATCTAGGAGGAAGGGTGATAAATATATGTGAGGCTTATAAAAAAAACAGGGGTCTGCCTCATGCATGTGGTAGCATTTTCTGTTAAGGCAAAGCAACCATTGGATTCATTTAATAATTGATTCTTGGAGGGTTTGGGGACAGGAGAATTTTTTTTATAAGGAGAGTCCTTTTCATCAATAAGGACCTATTAAATGGATCGGGAAAAGGTCCTCATTTTTCAGCAGTACATGTACTAACAGTTGTAAAAATTTTAATCATCTCTGCTTGATTTCATCTAGGGTATTGCAAGCTTCATTTCAGCTGTGTCTAAATGAATCTGTATGGAGGTAATGCGATTTGAAAGTCCACTGCAATGAAAGTTTCGCATACTTGGAATTCAGATAAAAGAAATGGTCTTTTGTGTGGTTTCCACTAAAACTGCAATTGTTCCATTACTTCTCTAAATCGGTTTTCATGTTCATTTTACTTACAGTAATTTTAAATGGCGGGGGGGGGGGGGGGAATTCATGGAAATGGCCAAGCAAAATGAAGAATGCTTCAAATAACACCCTGGCTCTACCATGAAATCCCTGAAAGGTAGTTAGCGACTAACATGTGAATCAAATAAAGAACATGCAACAATAGAAAGGAGCATAAAAACTATTTCAAAATATATTTGCCAAAATGCACCACTACTCCATGTTGTCTCACTTTTGTGTACTGGTTTGCTATGGTTTGCCTACACAAGACCCTCTAAAAAGGCAAAAAATTATGTATAATTAAATTGTAGCTTCTTAGTATATTCCACATTTTTAGTGCAAGGACTGTTTCTCTGGCTAGGGATGTAAGAACACTTTGGTTATAAAACTGGTTTAATTATAAATGACCAAGGATAAGACATCTACCTCATGCCAAGGCCTAGCATAAGACTGTGGGGAAATTGGAAAGCCATTTGACTGGGATTTTACTCTTAAGTATGCTAATTTATTTTACTTAAAAATACTCAAGTTGCATCTTTACTTTTATATGTCATAATTTTTAAATTTTTTATTATGGCTAGGGGCCTCTAAAGTCTAGATCATTCTACCTTTTCAAATGTAATATTAACAGGTGAAACTCGAACAATTAGAATATTGTGCAAAAGTTCATTTATTTCAGTAATGCAATTTAAAAGGTGAAACTAATATATGAGATAGACTCATTACATGCAAAGCAAGATAGTTCAAGCCATGATGTGTCATAATTGTGATGATTATGGCTTACAGCTCATGAAAACCCCAAATCCATAACTTCAGAAAATTAGAATATTACTTGCAATCAATAAAACAAGGAGTGTACATAGAACAATATCAGACCTCTAAAAAGTATAAGCATGCGCATGTACTCGGTACTTGGTTTGGGTCCCTTTTGCAGCAATTACTGCCTCAATGCGG